AAAAGACTTTTGCTAAAATTTCTTTTTTTTCTGTTACTTTATGTCAATGTTAATGTGGTCCATCTGTCATTTCACCTCCTCTAGTCTTTGGGTACAAGTCAAGATCTGAGCAGTCGTTTAGTAACAGAGTTTAATGGCCCAGGAGGGAAAAGGAGATTTTTTAAAAATTAATTTATTTATTTTTCATTTCATTTTCTTTTATACATTCAATCACATTATTATTTGTCTTACAAAATGGATATTTCAACAGGCGAAATGATGGCATGTAAACTTTTCTTAGACTGTTAAATTCCTGAGAAGAAAACAAAGATTGAAAATGAATTCATATGGATCCTTATTTTCCTTCAAGAATGTATAACTGAAATAATTAAAAAATGGGTAAATTTATAGGTAAATCTTTGTAATTGAATATGGTTTAGTCTCTGACAATTCATATGTTTGCCTTTTGGAAATGCTTTCTATAGTACTCTCCGGTATTTTGGTACACATCCAGGAGATTATGTTTCATATGTTCATATGCAACCATGCTAGAGAGAGTTGATTGTTATCTCAAAAGCAAGATTAGTTAGATTTTCTTACCAAATTGATTCCTATGTGGACATGGAAAGTTCACAAAGGCCACCCATATTACAATTAAAGCTTCCATTTTGTAATGAAAATTTCCTGAAATATTATTGAAATGTTCATTTTTACTGTTTGTTCAAATCTATGGATTTTAAAAGATAGTCTGTTTCTGCATCTCAAATACCATGCCACCTTCCAGCCCCATGTTTCTGTATCTTAATTTAAATGTATGTGGTCTATTTTAGAAACAAAGAGCCATACTATGATGCCTATTATGATAAAGGCAGTGTCATATTGTATTATATGGTTTCATCCCATGCAGAGACAATTTCATACCTGGTTGGACAATGTAGCATAGGAATTTTCCATTTTTACCATCAGAAATGTATTGGTCATAATAGATAAGGGTGAACTTCAGATACTAAACTGGTTTGTGTATGTCTTTATATGTCCATTACTGTAATGAGAAGACCTGGCTTCTTGTTCTAGTTCTAGTTCTGACAATCCATCTCTGTATCTGTACATGAACCATGATCCTCCCTGAGCCAATGTTTTCTCAAAACTAAAAAGAGTTAATGATTTTGTCTCTTATGGAGAGAAAGTGGGTGAGATATATGAGAAAAAGATTTAAGGAAGACCATGATCAGGGACAGGCGATAGCACAGCAACACTGCAACTGGACCCACATGAAGGAAGTTCTAGTTTGTGTCCTGGGACCTCTCTGAGTATGTGGGCCACATAGGAGCCTGTGATCTGGGCTCACCGAGACTGGGATTCAACTATGTATGGCTTGGAATCCACTTGGAGGTGACTTTCTCTCTGTTGTCTGTCTCTCTCTCTCTCCCTCATGGAAGATATAAGTAAGCAAAAAGCAAATAAAGTAAGCATTGCCTAAGACTTTGTAGTTAGAGTATCCTGAAGGACCTTGAAGGAAAGATGTACTGCTAGAAGACACAGCTAAATAAGCGGCAAGTTATCATAGAGTTATTTTGATTACAAAAAAAGGGGCAGGGGGCCTGTTGTGCAACTCCACTGAAGACATTGTATTTCATGTGAATGCTGCCCCCTAGGGTTGTGCGGTATGCATAGAGACATAGTGTTTTCTTGTGAATGATGTCATCCACATACCCAGAAAAAAGATTCTTGTTTTTTTTTTTTCACTGAAAGTAGGGTCATTGGTTCTTATACACATGTTAACCTAATCTATGAATTAGACACTAAAGCAAGCAGCGAGTCTATAAGCTTAGACTAGAGAGAAAAATAATAGACTGAGCATTTGGTTTTATTTATTTATTTAGGAGAGGTTTTTACTATAGAGCATATGCGCTTGCCAGAAAGAGAGAGAGAGACAGAGAGACAGAAAGCAAGAAATCATCACCCCCCCCAGGGAGATGGCCACACTGCAATCCCTTCTCCTCCATTCTCCTCTTGAGATATTGGGCACGCACACATATGTGGCCGGCATGAGTTTTGCCACCAAGTCTGGGACTTGAACTGTGGCTAACTGCATGGGAATCCAGCAACATAACTATTATGCTATCTATTGGTCCTGCATTTGTTTTTAAAAAGTGTGACTTTTTTGAATTAACCAGGATAGAAATTGGTAAAGATCAGGCTATAATTTCCAACACATTAATTCTAGTTATTGTATTTAAAACGTTATGGCTATTGGGACCAGCAGGTGGCGTAGAAGTTAAGGTGTTGTGCTCCCATGTGACTGACTGTCATCTATTTCTTTCCTTGGTGCTTAATAGTTTTCATTATACAGATCTGGGTTTAATTTATTCTTAGATATTTTAAATTTTTATAACTCTTGTAAATAAGACTTTTTTGATTTCTTTTTCAGTGAGCTTATTGTTGGTATACAATAAGGCTACTGATTTTTGCATATTGACTTTGTATCCTGCAACTTTATTGAATTTATTAGTTTTAAGAGTTTTTTTTTAGGTGGACACTTTAGGGTTTTTTTTTTTTTTAATATGTCTGATCATGCCATCTTTCCAGTTTGGACCCTTTTAATTTCTTTCTTACATAATTGTTTTAACTAGGTTTTCCATAGCATGTTGAATAGGAGTAGAGGCAGTGTACATCCTTGTATTTTATATGTTCCTGCTCTTAGAGGAAAAGCTTTAAAGTTTCCCCCCTTACTATGATGTTAGCTGTGGATTTGTCATAGACGGTCTTTATTGTGTTGAAATATGTGTCTTCTATATCTACTTTGTTGAGTCATAATTATAAAGGGATCCTGTATGATATCAAATTACTTTTCTGCTTTGAATAACATAATTATATAGTTTTATCTTTTCTTCTGTTGATCTGATGTATTTTATTAAATTTACCAGTTTGTATGTGTTCAAGTATTCTTTCTTGCAACCCAAGGATAAAGTTTTCTTGATTATGGTGTCTGATTTATTTTGTTTGGGTTTTGCTATAGGTTGTGTGTGTTTGCCAGAGAGAGTCAGAGAGACAGAGAGAGTGAAATTGAGAACTCACTCCCCAGGGAAGATGACCCTGCCATAATCCCTTCTCCTCCAGTTTCCTTTCAGAGTTTTGGGCACACACACACATGTGCCTGGCACGATTTTCAAGCTGTCAGGTCTAGGCTTGAACTGCATAATCAACCATGTAGAATCCAGCTCCTGAATCTTCATGCCACCTATGGTATATGATCTTTTTGATGTACTGTTGAATTTGATTTGCTAATATTTTGCTAGTGGTTATCGCATCTGTGTTTATTAGTGGTAATGGTCTATAGTTTTCCTTTTTTGCTTTTGGTATGAGGGTAATGGTGGCCTTGTAAAATGAGTCTGGAAAGATTCTCTCCTCTTAGACCTTTTGAAGTAGTTTGAAAACCAATACACCATATTTATTGCAGTACTATTCACAATAGTTAAGCTATAAATTTGATCTAAGTGCCTAACAACTGATAACTGGATAAAGAAAATATGTTATATATGCACAATGTAATATTATTCAGCTATAAATAAGAATGAAATCCAGTCATTTCAGTGAACCTAGAGAAAATAATGGTAAGCGAAATAAATCAGATCAACAGATAAAAGAGTGCAGGTAGGTAAGCAGAACGAGTTCTACAGTACTACAACACAGTAAAGTAACAATAGTTGGTAACAATTCAATGCATATTTTTTTGAGAGATTTTTGCTATAGGGCGCGTGCTCTCGCCAGACAGACAGAGAAAGACAGAGAGACAGAAAACGAGATGGCCGGGGAGATGGCCACGCTGCAATCCCTTTTCCTCCATTCTCCTCTCGGGATCTTGGGCATGCATGCACACGCGCCTAGCCTGAGGTTTAAGCCACCAGGTCCAGGACATGAACCACAGTCGACTATGTGGGAGTCCAGCGACATAGCCATTATACTAACTGCTGGTCCCTCAATGCATATTTCAAAACAGAAGAGTGAATTTCTTTTTTTTTTTTTTTGGAGAGGTTTTTGCTATAGGGCACGTGCGCTCGCCAGACAGACAGAGAGAGACATAGAGACAGAAAGCGAGAAATCACTCCCCAGGGGGGATGGTCACGCCGCAATCCCTTCTCCTCCATTCTCCTCTCGGGATCTTGGGCACACACGCACACGCGCCCAGCGTCAGTTTTAAGCCACCGGGTCTGGGACACGAACCGAGGTCAACTATGTGGGAGTCCAGTGACATAGCCATTACGCTAACTGCTGGTTCCCAGAAGAGTGAATTTCAAATGTTCACAACACAAAGCAGTGATAAATGCTTGAGATGGTATAGTTATAACCCTGATTTGATCAATACACAGTAAATACATAGTGTCTACAAACACATTGTATCCCATAAATATGTACCATTATTATATGTAAGTTAGACATTTTTTATAATGATTAAAATTTTAAAACCCTCAATACATTGGAGCTCTTCACACAGATTCTCGAGTGAATATTTTCCTCTACATGGAGTTACGGCATTTCACAAAAGTGAAATGGCTGCTGCTTGTATCTTTGGGAATAAAATATAAAATATAGCCATGGGAGATGATGCCTGTACTTTTCTAAAGGTCAAGATGACCTTGGTTATCTCCTCAGGAAAAAAAAACACATACGTATGTGTTGCAGCAACATTGAGCAGTTTTAGAAACTTAATAGAGTGAATGTAATACCTTTCATGTATTATCTATTGCACATTGAAACATTTTCAGAAAAAAAGAGTTGGGTCTGCTTCCAGCTGATAGCTATGACATTTTAGACGTTGGCCAGTCCGTACAATCACAATCGAATGGCTTAATTTAGCTTACATCTCAGAATCATCTAGGTAGTAAGTATTTTGTAACTGTTTTGGGAATTTTAAAGGTTATTAAGTTCTGAATAACAGAGTTTCTCATGTTTTCCCACCAAGCTTTTCCCAGCAGTTGAATATATCTGGATCTTATTCTGGTTTTTTATTCTTTTTTTAGCTTCCTGAAATGACTCATGTTCAAACACAACGGCCCTGGATGATGTTTCTCCTGCAGAACTTAGGATTGATGCTAGGTTGGCTTTCGCTCTTACTCTTGGCTATATATGAACAAAATATTAAAATATAAGTTATGATTCTCAAAAATCCTTCAAAATTGAATTTAACTGGTCTCTTTTTGTTTCTTTTGTTGTACTCTACGGTGATTTATAAATTAAGGATTTTTTGTTTTAGTGAAGTGTGTATTTTAGTTTACTAACATTAACTTTAGAATGCAATTTTGCTTTTAGAAGGAAAATGAGGCTGTCCTTAATCAAAACGTTGCTTTTGTTTTACCATACCTTGATGGAACTCATACTTTGCTGTAGTGATAAGTAAATTTGAAATTAATTCTAGCGAGTTAAAACAGTTGTTTTCCTGGAAAAAAAAATGTTTGTAGGATTTGAAGTAGATAAATGCCTATTGGGATAAAATTGGCTGAGACTTTTTTGATTTCAACAATTTTCTTCTAAGAGATTATAAACCATAAACAAAGTAAATTATAAACAAATGTAATAAAATATAGTTTTAATGTGATGGTTTGCATTACCTTCTATTACCGAATGCCAGAGTCTGAGTAATCATTTATACCAATATATTAGTATAGTTCACCTGGAGGTATTACCCACCAGTTCAAGAGTGCTCATGAAAAAAGAAATCTAGGAAGCCTGAAGGATAATATGTTAGCATTCTTTTATATAAATCACCAAAAGAAATCTGTGCTGGGCAAGGAGATCTGGAAATAAAATATTAAATTCAAAAAAATGTTAAGTAACACAGTTTGAGTCAAACATTAGATTAATGCTAAATGCTCACAGATTTACCAGAATTTATTTATGGGAAATATCTTACTGACAAGTAAGATATATTTCATAATCTTTCTGAGAAAACAGAACTCTAAATAGCATCTTAGGAGGTAAGCTCAAGAAATGAATAAACATTACTGATAACAAAATTATTAAAATAGAAAATAACACTCTAGTCATTTTTCTTAGAAAATGGATGCCTATTTTTTATATTTACGTAAATATGCATATGTATACATGCATGTATGTGTGTGTATATATATATATATTGAGAGGAAGAAAGACAGAGATCCAAATAGGGTATTCACACCATAATCTACCCTCAACAACTAGCTTGGGTCACAGGCTCATGTACATATATTCAGTGTGTAGAAGGTCCTGGAATGTCAACTGAGAACCTTTCCTTGTGAGTACAGTGACATTACCATGGTGCTATTCTCTGGCCTTATTTTTTTGGTGTATCTTGACAAGGGGAAAAGTTCATTTTATTGCCAGAATGACTCATGACACTCTGACAGATTCATCTCTCCTACCTTGTACTCACCAACAGAGATATATACTCTTTGCTCTGACACACACAATCCTTTTTTGGGGGGGAGAGATTTTTGCTACAGAGCGCATGCACTCACCAGAAAGACAGAGACAGAGAGTCAGAAAGAAATAAATCACCTCCCCCAGAGGGGATTGCCACAGTGCAATCCCTTCTCCTCCATTCACCTCTTAGGATCTTGGGCATACATGCACACGTGCCCAGCGTGTTTTAAGCCTCTGGTTCTGAGACTTAAACTGCAGTCGACTACATGGGAGTCCAGCGACATAGCCATTACGCTAACTGCTGGCCCATCAAACAATCTTTTCTAACCACTTTTCTTTGATTTAAAAGTGAAATGGGTTTCTACTGAAGTTGTCTACAGAGCTTTCTTTAAGGGGGCATGATTATGTAGTACAATAGTTCAGAAACCTTGGCATATCACAGGATCATCTGGAGGACTCATCTGTGGAAAACCCAGATTTCTGGGCTCCATCCTAGAGTATATGGAGTTGCAGCTCTAGAGTGAGGCCTGACACTTTGATTTCAAATAACTTCTGGGTGATGTTGGTTCTGTGGTTAGGGTATCACCCTGAACAAGGCCAGTATGACAGGATTCAGGCAGGCTTGGCTGCAAGAAAGAGTAGGGGAACCACCTTGTTGCCCAGGAGCTTTGTGCTTTTGTAAAGTTAGTTACCACTTCTACAGATCTTATGCTGGACTGAGTTACTAGACTGAAACCCCTTATTCTTTGTCCCCTTGCCTTGCACATTGGATTAGTCCCAGGAGATACTGAATGAGGAGTCCACAGATAGAATTTTTACTCATATTTACTCTGAAAGGTAAGCGTATTTGACACATAGAGCTTTGTCCTTTCTTTGTGAGAGTATAAATCATAGCTGAACAGAAACCTCTTTGTGAACAGGTCAACACAATGTGGAGGTTGTATACAAGAAGTTCCTGGCAGCATCTGTGTTTGGGTTTCTGTGACCAGGTTCTGATTTTGACATTAAGCCTTAATTTATGCCAATTTAATTAGAAAAGCTTTGATGGATGACATTGTTCCAAGTTCAAATTGAGAGTGGTTTGGGTCTGGCTAAATTGAAATTTGCAGTGTAATCTGTTAATTCCATGACCTTCAAGTTTGAGTGAATTTAACTTGACCTTCCAAGTGTAGGATGCAGAGGGCTTGGTGGGACAACTGCAGTGAGTATTTTACAAGATGACCACTAGTGTGCCCTGACTGTAAGCACCTTCCGCAGAGGTCTTCTGCTGCTGAGTCATTATAAGAATCACTTTTTAAAAAAAATTTTTTGGAGAGGTTTTTGCTATAGGGTACATGCGCTCATCAGAAAGACAGAGAGAGACAGAGAGACAGAAAGCGAGAAATCACCCTCCAGGATGGCCATATCACAATCCCTTCTCCATTCTTTTCTCGGGACCTTGGGCATGCATGCACACATGCCTGGCATGAGTTTAAGCCACCGGGTCCAGGGCTTGAACCATGGTCGACTACATGGGAGTCCAGTGACATAGCCTTTATGCTAACTGCTGGTCCCATAAAAGAATCATTTCTGAGCATAACTTTTTTAGGTCACTCTTCTCTACTTTATCACTTGCTTTTGGTTAATTCATATCAGGTTCTAGACAGGAAGCCATAGCCTAAAGAAGAACCTCCAGCCACAAGCAATCTTAGAATTGCTAGAGAATCTCTATTCCTCAAAACTGAGTGGTAATAATAAAAATAGGATGACAACTATTTGCCTTCTAAATATGAATAGAGTCTAAATTTGGGATGGTTGGACATCGTCATCCCTTTTAAGCTATCTAAGTTACATGTTTCTCACTGATCTTCAGGGTAAATGGTAATTTCCTTGAAACTGGATTTCTCAGTAATGTGAGAATATATTTGTTTTCCTAGGCCTAAATTTAGGGTTCCACTGTATTTCTACTTGATGATTGTTTTTTGTTTGTTTGTTTGTTTTTATCACTGTGGTAGAAGTGCTCCTGGAAAAAAAATCAAAGGGAAAAGCAAATAGAAATCTTATTTGCATACTCATCATTCAGGTACAGTCTTTTTTCTTTTTTTTATGAGAGAGATTTTTGAACTATGACCACTACCAACCCCTTCACACCCTTTCCCAGAACCTATATTTGGAGTTGAACTGTGCTTCTTTTTATAAGACACATCTCAGGATACTCTAAACTTACAACTTCCTACTCTTTCATAAACTGAAAGAAATCACTGGGTTAGACTGGTCTAGTGTAGTTAGGACTCTTATGTAGCCAATAATAACTCAGGTTTGGGACCAACTGGTGGCATGGTAATTAAGGGAGCTAGATCTCACATGGCTGACTATACAGTTCAGTTCCAGATCTGGTAGCATGAGAAATATGCTGGGCACATGTGTGTGTATTCCCAAAATCCCAAAAGAAGGAATGGAAAAGGGATTGTAGTATAACCATTCTATGTGGAAGGAGTGCTTTCTCACTTTCCCTCTCTATCGCTCTGTATCTATCTGGTGAGTACATGCACCCACTAGTAAAAGTTATTAAAAAAATGTATTTTCAGGTTCCAAAGTGGAATTTGTGTTTAAACCCCAGTTATGCCACTTAATAGCCTTGAAATTCATTTTTTTGCTCTAGGACACATGTGCTCACCAGAGAGACAGTGACAGAAGGTGACAAATCATCCTCCAAGGGTGATCCCTTCTCCTTCATTTTCCTCTTGGGATTTTGGACATGCATGCACATGAGCCCGGAATGAGTTTCAAGCCACCAGGTCCGGGACTTAAACTGCAGTCAACTATGTGGGAGTCCAGCGACATAACCATTATACCATGTGCTGGTCCACCTTGTAATTCTTTAAGCAATAATTTCTTCTTACATAAAATAGGACTAAAGTAGATCCTACCAGACAGGATTATGGTGAGATCAATATATGGGACACTATTCATGAAGCACTTAGTACAACACCTGGAAAAATTCTGTGGTACAATATTCCGTTATCATTAGTTTTCCCTTCTTTCATCAGTTTCATAGTTTACCTCTCGGTGTTGCTCTTCAGTCAGGAAATATCTTTTCTTGGAGGAGAATGAAGATCAAGCATTTTAATTTATCTGCCATTTTTTAAAAATAAAGATTCCAAAGTAGCTCCCACTAGTCCTTCAAAGATGTCCTGATATTTTTCACCTCAATGCACTTCCTGAGCAGAGCAGCATAGATGGGGACCCCCTGGGTTTGTCCCACTCTGTCCGTCTTCAGGCTGACTCTGTCTGCATGTTATAAGGCCTGCACTTGGTGAAAGCCTCTCTCTCTTACTCTTTAACTCTCATAATAAGTGAAATCCACTCTAGTTTATATCTCTAAGGTTGAATAATGGAACTTGACGTAGAGGTGCCTGTCTACGGTCTTAGTTATTGTCACAACCTTCTCAACTCGGGGAGACAAAAATGTTCAAATGATTCCCCTCTGTTCCCAGTGCCCCTACTGAAGGAATGAAACCAGTTCCGAAAAGAGTCAAACACGAGGGACCAGCAGTTAGCATAATGTCTATGTCACTGAACTCCCATGTAGTTGACCACGGTTCGAGTCCCAGTCCTGGTGGCTTAAACTCATGCTGGGTGTGTGTGCGTGCATGCCCAAGATCCCAAGAGGAGAATGGAGGAGAAGGGATTGCGGCATGGTGATCCCCCCTGGGGGGTGATTTCTTACTTTCTATCTCTTTGTCTGCCTCTGTCTTTCTGGCAAGCGCTC